CCTTATAGTATAGTTTAAGATCTGATACTGCTAAAAATTCCTTCCTTTACATTTTTTCATTATCCGATATGCTTGACTTTTTATTTTTCCAAATGAATTTTGTTATTATTTTTTCTAATACAGCAAAAAAAAAAATTGGGTAATTTAATTGGAATGGCATTGAATATATAAATTAGTTTAGTAAAATTGTCATTTTTATTATATTGGCCCTACCAACCCATGAACAATTAATATTTCTCTAATTATTTAAATCTGATTTTTATTTGCATAATAAGTTTTTTATATAATTTTGTTTATATAGTTTCTGGTTTTGTTTTGGCAAGTACACTTACAGGTATTTTATACTGCCTAAAGATATTTTAAATGGGGCATTTTTTACTATCTCTTCTTGCAGAGTTTTGTTTGTGACACATAGGAATGCTGATAATTTATGTGGATTTACTTTATATCCTGCTACTTTGCTAAAATTATTATTTCAACTAAGTTTTTAGTTGAGTCTTTGGGATTTTCCAAGTATACCATCATATAGCCTACAAAAAGAGATAGTTTTATTACCTCATTCCCTATTCCAATTCCTTCTATTTCTTTTTCTTCTTTTATTGCTATTGTTAGGATTTCCAATACAATACTGAAAAATATTGGTAACAGTGGGCATTTTTGTTTTATACCTCATCTTACTGGGAAGGCTTCTAGTTTAACCCCATTACAAATAATGCTTGCTGATGGTTTTAGATAAATGTGTTTTATCAATTTAAGGAAAAAACCATTTCTACCAATACTTTCAAGTGTTTGTAATAAAAATGAGTGTTGAACTTTATCAAAAGCTTTTTCTGCATCTATTGATATAACCATTTTTTTAAACTTTTATTATTGATATAATAAATTATGTTAATAGTTTTCCTTATGTTAAACCACCCCTGCATTCCTGATATAAATCCCACTTGATTATAATGTATAATCTTTGTGATATATTGTTGTAATCTTTTAAAGCATGTTATTTAGAATTTTTGCATCCATATTCATTAATGAAATTGTTCTATAATTTTCTTTTTCTGTTTTTACTTTTCCTGGTTGAGGTATCAGTATTATATTTGTTTCATAAAAGGAATTTGGTAGGATCCCTTCTTTACCTATTACTCCAAATAATTTATTTAATATTGGATTTAGTTGATCTTTACATTTTAATTTAAATTTGCCTCTTGTAAACAATATATTGTTGGATTTTGATTTCTAATCTGTTCTGCTATTTGCTTCGATTTTATGGGTGAGTTCATCCCATTCACATTCACAGTTATGATTATTGTGTATTTCTTTCCATCCCATTTTCTTTTGTTTCTTTCTCTCTCTCTTTTTATCCTGTCTCTCCTAAAAGGTCTATTTTGCTTCTAACTACTGCTTCCATTAATCCACTTACCCTTTTAATATCCCCCATTACTCCTATACCCTTCCCCTCCTATTTCTCTATTTAAATAAGGTACATTTCTATCAACAACTATATGCGTATATATATATATATATATATAAATGTTCACACTTCGCCCCATAAAAGCTCTTCCTGACCCCATTTTACTTCTCCCTCCTCCCAGTGCATCCTTCTTTCTACCCCTTTGGGTTTTTGGAGATCATTCTAACAAAATAAATTCACACTCATGCCTCCATGTATGTAAACCCATTTTAACTATCATAATAATGATAAAGTTCTTAGGAGTTACGGGAATCATCTTTCCATATAGGAAGTTTAACTTTCTTGTGTCCCTTATGATTACTATTTCATGTTTATCTTTTTCTGCTTCTCTTGAATCTTATGATTGAATGTCACATTTTCTATTCAGGTCTGGTCTTCTCATCAGAAATGTTTTAAAGTCCTCTATTTCATTCAATATCCATTTTCCCTTGAAGGATTACACTCATTTTTGCTGGGTTTTGATTATAATCCTAGCTTCTTTGCCTTGTGGAAAATATACCAAGCCCTCCAATCCTTCAATGAGGAGACCACTAAATCTTGTATGATCCTAACTGTGGCTCGATATTATTTGAATTGTTTCTTTCTGGCTGCTTGAATTATTTTCCCTTTGACCTGATGCCTCTGGAATAATATTCCTGGGAGTTTTCATTTCAGAATCTCTTTGAGGAGGTGATAAATGGATTCCTTCCATTTCTATTTTACCATCTGGATCTAAGATAGCAAGGCAGTTTTCCTTGATAACTTCTTGAAATATGATGTCTAGACTCTTTATGTGATCATGGCTATCAGGCAGTACAATAATTCTTAAATTACCTCTCCTTGATCTATTCTCCATGTCAACTGTTTCTCCAATGAGATATTTTATTTTCTTCTATTTTTCATTCTCGTGACTTTGTCTTGTTGTTTCTTGATGACTTGTGGGAATCATTAGCTTTGACCTGCCCAATTCTAATTTTTGAGGAACTTTTTTCTTCTTCAGCTGAAGTACAACAGAGTCTGTTCCAGCCCCTAACTTTTACTCTGTCTGTGTCTTTCTGCTTTAAGCATGTTTCTTGTAAACAACGGATTGGAGGATTCTGGTTTTTCATACACACTTCCATTTTATGGGAGAATTCATCCCATTCACATTCACTAACTGTGATTACTACAATTACTAACTGTGTATTTCCCTCCATTCTATTTTTCCTCCTGTTTGTCTTCTCTCTTATCTCATCCTTTCCCTCCTCACCAGTGTTATGCTTCTGTCTACTGCCCCCCCAAATCTGCCCTCCCTTCGGTCAGTCCTCTCCCCCCTTACTTAATCTCTTTCCCTGCTACTTCCCTGTAGGGTAAGATAGATCCCTTATAATTATGAAGTGGAAGTGATGAATAGATTTAAGAAATTACACCTGGTAGACAGAGTACTTGAAGAACTATGGCAATATTATACAGGAGTCAGGAGCAAAAAATAAATAAATTTTTTTTAAAAAGAGCAAGAAAGAAAAATGCCTGTCTGATGAGGCTTTACAAATAGCTGAGGAAATAAGGAAAGCAAAAGGGAAAAAAGAAAGGGAAAGATATGCCCAAACAAAACCAGAATTCCAAATAATATTAAAGAAAGATAAGATTTTCTTAAATGAGCAATGCAAAGAAATAGAAGACAATAGAACGGGAAATACAAGAGACCTCTTCAAGAAAAACAGAGATATCAAGGGGACATTTCATGAAAAATGGGCATAATAAAAGACAAAAAATGGTAAAGACTTAACAGATGCAAAAGAGATTAAGAAGAGGTGGCAAGAATATACAGAAGAACTACGCAAGGAAGATCTTAACATTACTGATAACCACAATGGTGTGGCTACTGATCTAGAGCCAGATATCCTAGAGAATGAAGTCAAATGGCCCTTAGGAAGCATTGCCAACAATAAGGTCAGTGAAGGTGATGGAATGACAGCTGAGCTATTTAAAATCTTAAAAGATAATGCTGTTAAAGTGCTTCACTCAACATGCCAGCAAATTTTTGGAAAAGATCAGTTTATGTCCCAATCCTAAAGAAGGGAAATGCCAAAGAATGTTCAAATTACCAAAAAAAATTGCAATCATTTCACATTTCAGCTCAAGATTCTACAAGCTAGGCTTCAGCATTATATAAACTGAGAATTACAGAAGTGCAGGCTAGTTTTCAAGGAGGCAGAGGAACTAGAGACCAAATTGCCAACATTCATCGGATTATGAAGAAAGCAAGGGAGTTCCAGAAAAAAACATCTCCTTCTACTTCTCTGGCTACACTAAAGCCTTTGACTGTGCGGATCACAACAAAATATGGCAAGTCCTCAGAAAGATGAGAGTACCAGATCAACTTACCTGTCTCCTGAGGAATATATATGCAGGCCAAGAATCAACAGTTACGACCAACGATGGAACAACTGATTGGTTTAAGATTGTGAAAGGAGTATGACAAGACTGCATATGGTCATCTTATCTATTTAACTGAAATGAGTTCATACATTGTGCAAAATGCCAGCCTGGACAAATCCAAAGTTGGAACTAAGAGTGCTGGGAGAAATATCAATAATCTCAGATATGCAGATGATACCACTCTGCCAGCAGGAAGTGAAGACGAATTAAGAAGCCTCTTGATGATGGTGAAAGAAGAGAGTGTAAAACCTGGCTTAAAGCTTCGCATCCAAAAAACTAAGTTTGTGGCAACTGGTCCCCTCACTTCCTGGCAAACAGAGGGAAAAGAAATGGAAGCAATGTCTGATTTTTAAATTCTTGGGCTCAAAGATCACTGCAGACAAAGCCTGCAGCCATGAAATTAAAGGACACCTGCTCCTAGGAAAGAAAGCTATAGCAAATCTTGCCAGCATACTAAAAATTAGAGACCTTGCTGACAAAGGTCCATAAGATCAAAGCTATGGTTTTTCCAGCAGTAATGTATGGCTGTGAGAGTTGGATTATAAAGAAGGCTGAGTACCACATAATCAATGCTTTCAAATTGTGGTGCTGGAGAAGACTTGAGAATCCATTGGACGAGAAGGAGATTAAATCAGTCGATATTTAAAGAAATTTAGACTACTCACTGGAAAGACAAATACTGAAGCTAAAGTTTAAATACTTTGCCCACATAATGAGAAGACAGGACTTACTGGAAAAGACCCTGATGTTGGGAAAGACTGAAGGCAAAAGGAAAAGGGGATGGCAAAGGATGGAATAGACAGAAGATGGGATGTCATGGAAGCAACAAATATGAGACTGAACAGACTTCAGGAGATAGTGAAGAGAAGGAACAGACTTCAGGAGATAGTGAAGAGAAGGGACTGGTGTGCTATGGTCTATGAAGAGTTAGATACAACTAAACAAATGAACAATAACAAATACCTGAATAAGTAATTTAACCAAAAAATATAAGTTAGATTCGTATATAAACTCTCAATATTCACTAAGGTTGCTTTATTAGCTCATACACAATTAACTTTTCTGCTTTAAATATTAAATAAATCTATACATAATCTTTGGACTAAACACTTAAAATGTTCTGTAAAATACTTACAAACAATGGTTTATAGAATGCTGGACCCAGTGTTTTGTCAACAACAGGTGGACTTTGTTTCAATACAGAGCCATCATTTTTTATATAATAACCATGTGACTGTCCAGGGGAAGGAATGGAAGGTGCATCCACATTTCTGAAGACTTCAAATCTTTTTGGAGTTTTCTGCAAAAATAATATTAAAATTAAAAATCTTTGAGCACGTGAATAAATAAATAAATAAAATAAATGGCAGACAATATGGGGGATGAAGAACAAAATCTACTGGAAGACCAAGAATTAACTTCAGAATTAAAAATTTCCAGTACTGGAAATGACTACAGGAGAGAGACTTAAAGGCTAGAAACAATCACTGAAGGACACACAGGATTAAGCAGAACTCAGCAGGCATGCAACCAATTTCTGTTAGTCCTGAAGTGACAGACCTTATTCAGCATAGCCAGACCTGAGCCTTGCCTTCCTGAACAATGTAATACGCTGAAGGCTCCACTAATATCAAACGTGCACGACAACAACCACGTTGTGCAGACTGACACAGCCTACCACGGGTGGTCATTATAAAGGAAGGAAGGAAAACCACCTCCATCAGGAGGTGAGCAGCATGCTTCACCATCAGACCTCTGGAATTATGGTTGGTCATTAGATTGATCAGCATTCTTAAGTCTACTTCAGCTAAAACATACTAGGTTTCACTCCAGCCGCTAATTTTAAGTTTGTGTACTCCTTTATGTTTTAAACGTATCTCTTATACACAACCTATTGTTGGACTCTGCTTTCTAATCCCAATTCGGTTACCACCTTTTGTTCTACAGGTGAGCTGACCCTATTCACATTCAGAGTGATGATCCTTAATTGTGTATGTCCCCTCAACTTACTCTATTATACTTCTCTTTTTCCTGCCCCACCTTTTTAAAGAAGGTGGTGAGAAAGGAGTGCACTCAGCACCAATGCTCAAGATTTACTATAACTTGCTTCTGCTCCCCTGCCCTACCTAGGGCCCAATCAAAAGTTATCCATTCCTTTTCTTTTAAATCTCTTTTCAGAATCCAACCTCCTTAGGTTTTGTTGTTGTTGTTGTTGTTGTTGTTGTTGTTTTGTTTTTCAGGCAATTAGGGTTAAGTGACTTGCCCAGAGTCACACTGCTAGTGAGTGTTATATGTCTGAAGCCGGATTTGAACTCAGGTTCTCCTGACTCCAGGGCCGGTGCTCTATCCACTGCACCACCTAGCTGCCCCCTAGTTTGTTTTGTCTAAGGACTAATGCCTCCCTTTCCTCTTGTCCCCTCCTCTCCTCCTCCTCCCCCGCCTCTTTTTCTTCTCCCCTTTATCTCCCATTTCATGCAGTTTTGTACTGGACTGCCTGTATATATTCCTGATCAACTCAATGAGAGGTTTAAGTGTCACCTGCTCTCTGCACCTCTTCCTTCGTTTTTGTGCAGTTTTCTACTTGAACATTCAGATGATGTGAGATGATTTTCCCCATATTTCCTCTCTCTTTTTCCTCCTAGTAGTGTATTCCTTCTCCCCTCTCGTTCCATTCTTCTTTTAAGATCATGCAAACATATCGGAACACCACTTCTAGGCCCTCCATCTTACTGCACTCTCTACGACTCCTGACAAAGGCATTTAGGGGGTACAGTGGAAAGAGCACCAGGCCTGGAGTCAGGAAAATGTCCTGAGTTCAAATCAGGCCTCAGACACTTACTAGATGCTTGACCTTGGGTAAGTCACTTAACCCTGTTTGCCTCAATTCCTTATCTGTAAAATGAGCTCGAGAAGGAAATAGCAAGCCACTCCAGTATCTTTGCCAAGAAAACCCCGACTTGGATCACAAAGAATTGGACAAGACTGAAAATAACTGAACGACAACATGACCTTTGATGATGTTAGCATTGGGAAGGGACATGTCTCCCTATATAAGAAAGTAAACAGTCTACCTCTGCTTAGTCCCTCATGATTGATGAGTACTCATGTTTACCTCTTGTGTTTGTATTTCAAAGTTTCTACCAAGCTCTGCTCTTTCCATCAAGAATGCCTGTCATTGTTGTTGTTCAGTCGTTTCAGTCATGTCTGACTCTTCATGAGCCCTTGGCAAAGATACTGGAGTGGTCTGCCATTTCTTTCTCCAGCTCATTTTACAGATGAGGAAACTGAGGGAAACAGGGTTAAATGACTTGCCCAGGGTCACAGAGCTGGTAAGTCTCTGAGGCCAGATTTGAACTCATGAAGATAAGCCTTCCTGACTCCATGCCCAGTATTCTATCCACTGTGACACCTAGCTGCCTCCCAAAAAAGCCTGGAAGTCATCTATTTCATTAAAGGTACATTTTCCACCTGTAGGATTCTATTTCATTTTTCTGGGTACATTATTCTTGGTTGTAAGCCTCTATCTTTTGCCTTGTGGGATGGCATATTCCTAGTTCTCCATTCCTGTACAGTGGTAGCTGCTAAATCATATGTGAGCCTGATTGTGGCTCCTTGAATTTTTCTGGTTTGCAGTATTTTTCCTTTGACCTGGGAACTCTAGATTTTGGTTGACATTCCTGGGAGTTTTCATTTAAGGAGATAATTTATGGATTCTTTCTCTTTTCACTTTTAAATGGTCAAAGGATATGAACAGGCAGTTTTCAGATGAAGAAATTAAAGCCATCTATAGTCATATGTAAAAATGCTCTAAGTCACTATTGATTAGAGAAATGCAAATCAAAACAACTCTGAAGTACCACATATCACCTATCAGATTGGTCAACATGACAAAACAGGAAAATGATAAATGTTGGAGAAGTGGGAAAATTGGAACACTAATGCACTGCTGGTGGAGTTGTGAAATGATCCAATCATCTTGGAGAACAATGTGGAACTATGCCCAAAGGACTATAAAAATGTGTATACCTTTTGACCCAGCAATAGCACTTCCAGGGCTGTATCCCAAAGACATCATACAAATGAGAAATGGACCCACGTGTACAAAAATATTTATAGCAGCTCTTTCTGTGGTAGCAAAGAATTGGAAATTGAGGGGATGTCCATCAACTGGGGAATGACTGAACAAGCTGAGGTATAGGAATGCAATGAAATACTGTTGTGCTATAAGAAATGATGAGCAAGTAGACTTCAGAAAAACCTGGAAAGACTTGTATGGACTGATCCTGAGTGAAGTGAGCAGAACCAGGAAAATGTTGTACACAGTAACAGCCACGTTGCGCTATGACTAACTTTGATAAACTTAGCCCTTCTCAGCAATGCAAGGATCTAAGACATCTCCAAAAGTCTCATGATGGAAAATGCTATCCACATCCAGAGGAAGAACTATGCAGTTTGAATGCAGATCAAAGCATACTATTTGCTCTTTTTTTTTCTTCTGTTTTGTTTTGTTTCCTCTTTCTTGTGGTTCCTCCTATTGGTTCTAATTCTTCCTTACAACATGACTAACGTGAAAATATGTTGAATAGGAATGTATATGTAGAGCCTATATCAGACTGCATGCTGTCTTGGAGAGGGGGCGAGGAGGGAGGGGGAGAAAAATTTAAAACTCAAAAGCTTATGGAAGTGATTGATGAAAACTAAAAAAAAATTAATAAAAAATGTTTTTAAAAAGAATGAGGAAGTTTGTCTAGATGACTTCTAAAGTTCTTCCAATTCTTAATGCTATGATAAGAAAACTAAATCATATCATATTCCTCCACCTTTGTCTTCAGAATCCACCAGTTTCAACTGGCATCAGTGTTGATAATACCAGCTGCATTCCTACTGTTTTCAGTCTCTTGTCCAGGATTTATTCTTCTCTATTATTACTTCTTAAGTTCTTTCTGGTGGTATCATTTGTCCCTTCATGAATGACCAGACATTAAGTTTAACAAGTCTCAGGAGGCTCCCTGCCACAATCCAGATACACATCCAAGGCAGACAGCATATCTGTCTGACTGTTCATATCAGGTTGACATTTAGCTATCTTAGTACACGTCAACAACCATCCCAACTTTTTCTAATAACAAGTACCAGACAGCTTTTTTTTTTTTAGGTGACCCAGTGGACCCTCATCATTATTCCTTGAAGTAGAAACTATTTCTGCCTCTGCAAAGTACAGATTTCTCCCAGAAATAAGAAGAGCCTCATACCTATAATGTAATTCATAATGTTAACTGGTCCTTTTCACCTTCTTTCTTTGTGTAGTAGAGGTTGCACTCCAGAGAACATGCATGGGGTGGGCCTAGGAGGTCATCATAGGGAATAAGAACCAGAGTTCCCCTGGAAACTTCCAGAAATTCCTGGATCATAGTTCAGTCAATGCTAAAAGGCCTTAAACTTTAGAATGATGAAGCAAACTCTTCACTGGTATCTGAGAAGGAAAAGTCTCTAACTCAGTGGATCTATAAAAAGGAGTGACCTGCCCTCTGCCTTTTCTTCCTGTCTGAAGATCACGTCTGGCCTGTTTGAGCCACTCCCTGGAAGAGTATAGCTGTAAGCACATGGCAAACAAAGCATATGTTCTACACCCAAGCAAACCTAAGATTTAGATTTCAGAGTCCTTGATGCTCTTCTGCTTTGTTTCTTTGCTTAATCATAAATATCTGAGCACTGATCCTGAGATGAATGTTTCCACTTTGTAAGTGTAAAAGGTCCAGCCACCCTGGTCTTCAGTCAATGTTAGAAGAGCATCTACATCCACCACAGTGCTTCGTGGAGATGATCACTAACAGAAGAATACTGAGGACATTATTTTCTCAGTTGCTTCTGATGTATGACCAGTAGTTTCTTGCCAAAGCTCTAACAGAAATAAAAGTTATCCTCAATCATGTCTTCAAAAACGTCTTATACAAAAATCCAACTTCCAGACATTTCTCACCATTCCTTTCCTCTGTCTCCTCCAGCCTCCATTCAAAATTTATACATTTCCTGCAGCTACTGGCTCCTAAGTAACGTATAGGTGTGTGTGTATATATGTACCTGTGTTCACAGACACACATACATGCGTAGGTATCCACATACATACAGATATGTATTTATGCATCTGAGGGACTGAATAAAGGGAGACTCATTTTGATGAGTTACAATCCCATAAAGACTATGGTCAGAATCCATGACACATGTTGGAGGATGTATTTCACTTATGCTTGATGGATTAGTTGGACTCATGAGGGGCCACCTCCACCTGCTGGCAGGTTA